CCTTGCCTGGCTCTGTAGGGCCATCAGGTGTGCACAGCACTTCCTCCGCCCTTGCCTGGCTCTGTAGGGCCCCAGGGAAGGGCCCCTGGTGGCTGCTGAAGACCCTGGATCTTCAAACATCAGCCTGAGCTGAGTCACAGCTCAGCTCTCTGCCCCTTCGGCTCCCTCCAGGCAGCACTGCTGGGGTCCCACATAGCTCAGAGTGTTTCATACCCACCTTTGCCATGCAGCAGCAGAGATAAACCTCTTCTGCCCTCCTAAAATTGCCATCAGACCCAGGTCATCACTGCCTTTGCTCAGCAGCACTCCCATGACTAGTGCCACCATTCCCAAGGTGCTGGTGCAGCCTGGAAGCCGAGCTCCTGGATCAACACCCTCTTTGCTCAGCCATCTCAATATCCCAACCCTTTTAATGCTGCCCAAGGGCTCGCTGAGCCCTTCAGGAACAGTTCCAGATGGCTGAGGGCCCCTTTTGCCCTCCCCTTTTCCCACTGCTGTTGCAGGCCAGGGCCCTGGCCTTGGTCTGAGCCCAGGATGAGCTCAGTGCTGTCGGGATGCACGAGCCTCCTTCCCCCTGCAGCTGTGCAGCTGGAACAGCTGCTCCCTGCCTGGCTGGCTGCAGAGGGCTGGGAGCCCTTTTTTCTGCTCTTGCATAACCACGGCTGGATCAGCCAGAGCATCTCAGCAAAACCTTGGGGGACCCTGTGAGTAGGAAAGATTGTGCTGTTCTTTCCTAGGGGTGGAGACTCCGACTCGTATGAGATCATCAGCACCTTTCCCCAGAGGCTGTACACAGACAACTCCAGGAGCCTGCAGGAATGTGGGCTGATCCCCAATGCCTCCTTGTTGCTGAGGAGAAGAGACCCCTCCCAGCAAGAGGGACAGGGCTGCAAACACCGTAACAGCTCCTCATCCCAAGCTCTGCAAGGAGAAGGAGCTCCCTCTCACCTGTTATAACCTTCCCTGGCTGGGAAGAGGTTTTCTTTCCAGATTTAGTTTCCTTGTGCCATTACCTGGGATGGAGAAAAGCCTGGAGCAGTGGTTTGGCCTCTCCCTGTGGCAGAGGGTGCCAGGCCCACTCCTGCTGCCTCACAGTGGGTGCTATTCCCCAAGACAGGTGGGCTCCCAACCCAGAGACACTTCCATCAGCTCACACCGGGGGTCCAGCCCTGGTTCCTCATTTGTGTGGAGTTACACAGGCTGATCCCTGCCCAGGGGAGCCCGCCAGCTTCACGCTGGTACTGGGCTCGGGGACTGTATAGCAGCAGGACACACACACAGCTGGGGCACTTTGCTTTCCCCACACAGCTGGTCCCCACAGATTTCAACTGCACTGACAGCAGGGGGGAACAGGCTCAGTTCTACAGTCCCTGGTGAAGCTAAACCTGAAGGCCTTGAGCCATTGCAATGCTGGGACTGAGCCAGACTCGACTCAGCCGGGAGATCCTGCAACTGGGCTTCCTGTACGTGCACAGCTCCTTCCCTTGGACAGCCCCCAGCTCCAGCAGGGCCCAGGCTCCAGCCTGCCTGCACTTACCCGCCCTCCCTCCCTCCTCCTGCTCGAGCTGGATGCTGCAACAGGACACCGTGTCATTGGAGAAGAGCATAATCCCTCCGCGGCTTCTCCACGGAGCCCTGAATAAAGCATCTTCCTCCTTCCCCGTGGGCTGGGGCTGCACTTTGCAGGCCCTTTTCCCCTTCCCCAGCACATTCTTCCCATTCCAGCTGTGACAAGCTCGCACTTGACTCCCAGCTGACAACACTCCCACTCATTCGAGGCAGCGCCTTCTGGCAGGTTCCCTCTGAGCAGACCCAGCCCTCCTTAAAGGCTCCCAATGAAACCCTTTATTCCTGTTGCAGCTTCCACTTCCTTTAGATTCCAAAGGCACAGTTGCTGCGGAAGCTCAGAGTGCCCGGAGCTCTTCCCAGACCCCTGTGCTGGACCTGGACCCTGCACAGCTCAAATGCAGGAAGCAAACCAGCTGCTTCCACCAGCTTCCCGTGACCAGTGACTCAACCCACACAGCTCTCACTCAGCTTCCTCCTTTTTCCACCTGCAGTAGATCCAGAGGCAGCCTTTTCCTCTGCCCCTCTGTCTCCTGGTCTGTAACCAGCCAGGTAATCTTTGTGCCAGGGGGTTGTTTTTTGCTCACGTGTCTGGCTGAAGCTGTCCCTGCCTCGGGCTGTTGCTCTCACCACGCAGAGGAGAGGAATGTTTGAGTGAGGAACCTGTCACTACCACGCCGTGGGACATTCAGACAAGTCCTGTGAGCCTTTGATTAGCAGCATCAATCTAAGGTGTTAAGATCTTTGTGTCAGGCTGCAGCAGCAAGTACAACCGACTCGGCTCCCCAGAGCTGGAAATGACTCAGAATCATTACATAGGGTGATGTTTAACCTGTAGCCAAAATAAAACCAGATTTAAAAGAAACGAGGGAGCACCAACGTGAAAGGTACAGTAACATTTAATAGCATCTCGGAAGACAACAATGGTTATAAACTTGCTTTTTGGCAGGAAAACAAAATGCACTTGGTCCAGGATTGCAAAAAAGCCAACTCAAAGAGGAAAGATCAGACAGCTGGAGCATCAGCTGGTCTGGGGCAGCCCTGAGCCATTAATGCTCACGAGGGAGCCCTGGTCATGGTGGAGGGTGGCCAGAACAGCACAGATCTCACTTCCAGCCCCATCCATCCCCCCAGGCAGCACAGATGCCACAGATCCCAGCCTTCGCCTCCCAGCTCCTCCACGGTGGGTGGTCAGACCCCAACTCTGTGCAGTATTTTTGCATTAAATTAAGACAAACAAAAAAAATTTACTTAGTTGCCATAATGTCTACAGTCGAGATGAAAATGGGGAAAAAAGGAAAAAAAAAAAAAAAAGGAAGTGAGGCAGCGGAATTTACAATTTTAACAGCAATGAGGAGAAGTGGGAAGTAACATGCAGCCCTAAGCCCTTCCCTCCCGAGGCAGAGGAGGGGGCTGACGGCTGCCCCGCACTTCACACGCCCCAGAGGCTTTGCTGTTTACAGAGGCACTGGAAGCTGCGGTGAGCCAGGCCCGGCTCTGCTCACAGGCCATGCGCAGCGAGCGTCAGACTTTCTTTGGATCCCTCTGAGATGATATCGGGGTCAGGCAGGAGGGAATCGGAGGCAGCTGCAATGAGTTTTGGTCATGGGTTTGTTTGTTTCCCTGTGCCGGGAATACAGGTCGCGGTGCCAGGACAGCGCTGACAACCTGGAAGTGAAGGTGGTCGGAGATGAGGGTGCTCAGGAATGCAGGTAGAGTCCAGGAAGGGAGAGGAGTCAGGGCTCAGGCCAGCTTCAGGAACTCCTGCAGAGTGTTTTGCTCCACCGCTTCCACAAAGAGCTCGTAATCCTGCAGGGAAAAGCCACACGGTCGCTCACGAGGCAAGAGGGTCCCCTGAGAACGTGGCACAAACTGGTTCACAGCACAGGGACCAGTTGGTTGTGCCAAGGATGACAGAGCAAAGCAGGGATAGCGCCACACAGCACAGCCCACAGTCACCCAAAGACCCCTGCCCACATCCCCTTTTCCCCCCAAGGCATAGCACTCTAAATGGCCATGAATCCTGACAGCACCTTGTCTGTGCACCTCACGAGAAATAACTCACAGGGTGTCTTGACACCCTTTGTAGCAAAACCAAGGGGATGGGACTGTCACCCACCACCCAACCTCAGGGTACTGATCCCCAGCACAGAGCAGGAGCCTCACCCCACAGTACTGGTCTCCGTTGACGATCTGGGGTGGGATGGCTTTGGGGTTGCCTGCCTTTGCCCTCATCTCCTCCCGGAGAGCGTTGTCCTGGGAGATATCCACCAGCTCGTACTTGATGTTTTTCCCATCGAGGATTCTGGTTACTTCGCTCTGTTGGGATTTGATCTGGAGCCCGGGTGGGAAAGGCAGGTTAAGGGGAGATGGAAAAGGGCCCGGAGGGTGGGTGCAGGGTGGGTGCACACCCCAGCGCGCCAGCCACGCTCAGCACAGCGCTCACGGTGCAGACCCCACCTGGCCACGGGGGGGGGACGCCCATCAGGGAGGGATGAGTTTGGGGGATGAAGGAGCCGGTGCAGCGAGAGCCGGGGAGGGGACACCTGAGATAGGGCGAGGGGGGGGGTGTGTACTTCGCAGCTCCACGGAACAGAGACGCCCACCCCCGGGAAGAGGGGCCCCGCTTCACCCACCCCTGCCCGCGGGAGCCCGGGGGCCCCGCCGCCGCTCACCTCCCGGGAGCCGGTCACCGAGGTGCTGTAGACCTTGAGGGTGCTCATGGTGCGATCGCGGCCGCTCCCTGCGCTCAGCCCGGCGGAGGGAGGCTCGGCTGGGCTCGGCTGGGCGGGAGGGACCGAGGGAGGGCGGAGCGGGCGGCCCCGCCACCGCCCGGCATGTGACTGCGGGGGCCAATGGGGCCGGCGGGCACGGGCATGCGGGCTCTGCGGGGCCGGCCCGGGAGCCACCGCCCCTACCGGCACCGGGAACCGGGAACGGGAATGGGAACTCACCGCCACCGCCCCTACCGGCACCGGGAACGGGGAACGGGAATGGGAACTCACCGCCACCGCCCCTACCGGCACCGGGAACCGGGAACGGGAATGGGAACTCACCGCCACCGCCCCTACCGGGAACGGGAACGGGAATGGGAATGAGAACTCACCGCCCCCGCCCCCGGAAACCGGTACCAGGAATGGGGACTCACACCATCGCCCCCACCGGGTACCGGCCCGGGCACTGGCCCTGGGGAGCCACCGCCCCTACCAGGCATCGGCCACCGGCCCCGGGGAGCTCCCCCTTCCCCACGCTGCACAGCCTCACACGGGTGGGTCAGAGCAGCTTTATTTTATAATCAAAATATTCGGTACAAACAAGCAACAAGACACGGGCTGGTACAAACACACTGAGCCCAACGGGACCGGGCAGTGGGGAACTGGGGAGGGGGGACACACGCGGGACAAGGGGATGGGGCAGGAAGGTGGGACAGGGAGGGAACACCATCCTGCCCCCCCTGGCCTGGGGTGTTCAGTAGTGAAGGGTCCAAGATTTCCTGTGCACCAGCAGCAAAGGGCACTTGGGATCACCCTCTTAGCCAAATGAGCTCAGCTGTGCAGGAGGATGATGAGGGGACACGTCCCCATGGAGGGGAACACGCGACCAGGGCAGCCCAACTGCAGGCACATGGCCAAGGGTGATGCTCCAAAAGCATCAGCCGAGGTGGTTTCAGCCACAGTCTCATCTCACAACCAGCTCTGCAGGGGCAGAGGGCAAACATGTCCTCACACAGCACCTGGGAACTGGATCTTGCACCCCAAAGCAAAGGGGATGGTGCTCAACAGCACCCTGAGAACCTGCAGGAGACAGCAGAGCTCCCGGCAGACAGGACAAACGGCTTCAAGGAACAGCCTTGGAAATGTGCTCCCTCAGTACCTGGCACCAGCAGCCTGGGGACAGACACAGCCAGACACGTAACACACCAGATACAGGGAGAGCAGCTCAGGACAAACCAACCAATTTCGTTGCCACCATCACCCGTGGTGGCCAAACACTAAAAACAAAACAGATTTGGTCTTAAAAATTTAACACAAAGGAATAACAAAAAAGCATTTCTGCCACACCCAGGGCTCGCAGCCCCAACGTGAACCAAGAACAACCTAACAGCACAAGTTTCAGGAGGATTTTTCCCTGTTTAGTATCTTGCTCTTAAGCTGAACACAAACAAAGTTCCACCCTCAGCACCACAGCACTGTCACAAGCCAGGGCTCAGTACTGTAAAGCTGTCACTATGGTTTAGGGGGGTTGTGGTGCAGTGAAACTTATCCCTCACTGATTTATGTAGAAATCCCATTACTTGCAGAGGAGCAGGGCTACAACAAAGCTCGAGTGGCCACTGCCTTGCAGGAAGAGCTCTCTGTGTCATCCCCCCACATGAGGACCAGTATGGCTTTCTCTCAGTCAAGCAGCAGAGAGCCAAGCCAGAGGTGTGTCCCCAGGGGCACAGAGGCTCTTGGAAGCTCTGGCAGGGGCCAGAGACATTCAGGGCTCCCCAGGATTGTTTGGGATGGCTCTAAAAGGCTGTGAGAAGGAGCAGCAGCTCCTCACCTGCCAGCAGATGCATTAGGCACGAAGCACACTGGGGGCAGAGGGTTTCTCCAGCACATTAAGGCACTTCAGCATCAATCCATTTCCTCTACAGTCTCAATCACACCCAGCTCCCAGTGCTATTTTGGGGGGGGACAAAAGGCTTAAGGCTTCTGGGGTAACAGTGCCCAGGGAGAGCATTTCCAGAGTCTTTTAGTGTTGCTTTAATTTCCAGCTCATGCTGGTTACTGAAAGACTCTGGTTGCATTTACCTGAGGAAAGCAGGTCCTGCTCCATAAATCCAAGCCAGTAGCACCTCAGTGTAAATACCAGCAGTATACCTGGCACACCTGCCTGCCTACAAAATCCAGGTATCCTCTGAACACTCCAAGAATCCTCTGCTCTCACAAGTCACACAGGACCTGCACAGGGAAGTTATCAGAAATACCAGGGCATACATTTCCTTTTAGTGATGATTTTAACTGTCACATTTGCACGTTCAGCATTTGACATGCCCGGAAGGCAAGTCAGAATTCAATCTCCCAGCATCAGAGACCACACCAGCTCCAGCAAACACAGCATAAAACACATTCCACAAGATCAAAGCTACTGCAAAGCCCGACACTGAAGCCCTGAACGATTCCAGTCAGCAGCTGAACACTTCTGGCAACAAACCCCCTGATCCCTCACAGATCAGATAAGTCACATCTCTGGTACCCGAGCAGAGAGATGGTAAAGTGCTGAATAGGTTTAGGGTTGCAGGAGCTCAAGACTCCTGAGGGTTTCAAGTCTTCATGTCCTGTCTTACTTTGGGGAGTGCTCTTTACTGGGTGATGCAGTTGTCTCCCATATCCTGAGCATATCTGTCAGATATCGCAGTCCTTAACTCCTCCACCTCTTTGTGAAGCTGTTTTACCTCCACCACTTTCTTTGCAAGTCCATCAGGGCTCAGCAAGTCTTCCTTCTCCTTCACAGGGTGTTGCACAGCTGTGGAGTCAGAGAAGGGAGTTTCCTCACATGCAATTCTCACCAAGGATCACACACATTTGCAAGCTAGCCAGAAAAACCAATGCACGTTTGCAAAGGAGGTTCTACTTAACATTCAGTTATAACAGCATGCACCTTTAGAGCGAGCTAACCAGAGAGGGAGGGTTCAGAAAGCCCAGAAAGACAATTCCATGCTATATGTGAGTTATTTAACTGTGCCACAGCACAGGAACGGGGTTTGCTCTGCCACGACTCTCTACTTACAGTGAATGCCCAGGAGCAGAGAGAGGTTGGGGTCCTTGCCCTGAGCCCTCTGAGTGACAATGCTGTAGACAGACTGTAAATCCTGCAGACAGATGGCCAGCTCCCCATGCAGCTCCTGGGTGAGGCGGGCTGTGTCAGTGGGCAGGGGCTGGGCTGTCAGCTCGGCCTGGCGCAGCCGCTCCTGGAGCGTCAGGTTCTTCTCAATCAGATCCTGGTTCTGCACAGAGAGCTGGACACACGGACACGGCAGGTTAGTGGGCACCTGGGACAGAACTACCACACTTAGAGCATCTTAATGCAGCTGCTCCCTGATGAGAGCGCTGAGGGCAGGAACTGGTTTCCATCCAGCCCTCCAGACTGTCACCAGAGGGGCGTCAGTCCCACATGGGGTGAGAGTTTGGCTCTCCTGGCTCAGTCAGGAAGCACCCTGGGTCACTGCACCGTCCCTGCTGAGCCATGATGCAGCAAAATAAGCTTCTGGGAGGTTGTGCACCCCAACACTGGCCATCCCTTCCCTCCAGGGCTGCCGTTGTGCTTGGCTTCCTTTAGGCTTGAGAGCAGCCCAACTCGCAGCCCTGCTGCCCCCAGGTGGCAAGCTCGGCCTCCTCCACCACATCCCGAGCCCCAGCTCAAGTTCCCGAGGCAGAAACTGCCTTTTTCCTCCTGCATTTGAGCAGAGGAGAGCTCCTTTCAGAGTCCTGACAGGACAGTGGACCAGCAGGATGTAGATGTTGTGCTGCTGACTCCAAATTCAGGGCCAGGCTGAAAGACAATCCTCTGTTAATTCAGTGCCTTGTTCAGGCACTCCAAGCACTCCCTGACCTCTTTCACAGCAGCCCGGAGCTGCTGCAGTGCATTCTCCCTTCTCATTGCCTCTTCTTTCAGAGCTTGGCTTGTCCCTTCTTCCTGAGCCACCTGTTCTTCCAGGTTCTGGAAGAGATCATGGGAACACAGTAAGTCTAACTCATTTCACAGCAGATTCTCCAGTTCTAGGTCCCTCCCCAGTCACCTCTCACCTTTACTTGCAAGGATAACTGCTCCATCTTCTTCTGCTTTTTGTCCACGATCTGGAATCAAAAGCAGAGGCATCAGAACTGGCCACACAGAGCCAGCAGTACCACCAGGATTTCTCCTTCAGCAGGACAGCACCTCCTCTCTCTTTCCTGTCCATTTACTGCTTTAATCACTGCTGCTGTTAGGAGTGGACTTAGATTCCCTGATAAAAGGCACCATTAGATCTATCAGCTACAAACAGACCAGAGACGTTATATTCTTGTGGTTTTCCTCTCCCCTCTTCTGCATTCTGCAACTTCTCCCCAGCGTTGCTGTAGGACTGTGTGGTTTTCACACCACCAACAGCTTTTAGAACCCCACAGGCTGAATTCCAGGAACTGCTGCTTTAGTGCAGTTGTGACTGCAGAAGTCCCTGATTTCATTTGAGTGCCTGGTGTGACTCAGTGGAAGGAAAAATGTGTGATTCCTGACTGGGACAGCCCCTTACCTTCTTGAGGCAGTCGCATTCTTTCTTCAGAGAGTCATGTTCCATTTTCTTTCTCTCCCCATCCTGGGCAGTGGGTCCTCTCTCTGCATTCTTTACACACTGCTGCAGCTTATCCTGCAAGCTGAAGGTAGCAAAACACCATAGGGAAAAAACCAGCTTTGTTTAAGGTGTTTCTCTCACTTCAAGGAGGGAAATTATTTTCATATCAGATGTCGGTGTTGAACTATTTGCATCCCAGCTCACAAACTGCCAGGGCTGTGCTGGAAGGAGTCCTTGCCCCTGGACACAGCCCCACCTGTGACACTGGCCCATTTGCAGACACACAAGTAGGTCCATTTTGCAAGGAGTTACAGCTGAGAGCAACAACAAACCAGCTGAGGACACAAACCAACCCAGCTGACAAAACAGGGGCCTCCTTCTTCAGCCATGTGGGTCTGCTCCCACCCTCCACTGCTGGAAGGCAGGATTTGAACACGGTGTTTTGGCCAGCATTCAAAAATCATCACAAATCCACAGTGACCTGCTTCTGACAGGTGGGACAGTGGCTGTGCTGAAGCATCACTGTCCTTGTGCAGCAATTACTGCAGTGCCAAGATGAAGCTTATTCTAATCCTCCTCACTCTTACCTGCGCACAGTGGAAAGAAGCTCCATCTCCTTGTGTTTTTGGGTTTCCAGCTGCATCTCTTGCTCCCTCAGAGCAGCCTGGATGTCTCCAAGCTCTGTTTCCAGTGCCAGCACTGTTTCCTGCAGAGCAGTGCTCTTCAGTTCAGAATCCTTCAGCTGCAACAAAGGGGAGTAACTGCAGCTGTAGAAAAGTCACCTGAGAAAGAATGTGAAGAACCATCTTCACAACTCAGAGAAAGTTTTACCTTCTGACTCTGTTTCTGGTGCTCCTCAAGGGTGGGCAGATCAGCCAGGTATCGTTCCAGGGTCTCAATTCTCTGCTGTCTCTCTCTGCTCTGTTCAGATTCCTTCTGGCATTTCTTTTTAAGGTTACTAATGTGTTTGTCTCTTCCCTTTACCTGCAGGGGTAGTTATAGACAGGTTTAGTTCATATAATTTCTCATCTATTCTTCAGTCTTCTGTAAGGTCACTCATTTAGCTTTTTTGCACAGAACTCAACACCAAAATACAAGATCACCTGAACTCAGCAGCATTTCTGCTCATTTAGCTAAAGACACGCTCTTCTGGTTAAAAGAGGAGGTACTGAAATGCTTCTACCTGCAGGACAAAGGGCTTTTGCTTATAAACCAAAGTACTCTACAAGGAGATCAGAAAACACCTGCAGTTACAGACTGCCACAGAAAAGCTCCATCTCAGCACTACACTGACTTTTAGCTACTCTAAGAAACCACACCTTCCCATCTCTACAGCAAAGGGATCTTACCCTTTCTTCCTGTTTCTTTAACTCCTCTGCATGTTTCTGCACAGCTTCCTTCAGTGACTCCCGGGCCAGCTTCACATCCACCTCTGCAGCAGCCAGCTTCCTCTCCAGTTCAATGTTCTCCTTACTGAGGGACTCAGTCTTCTCTGTGAACTGTGCTCGAAGGAACGTGTTCTCCCTCTGCAGCTCCTGCAGGCAGAGACAGCCCCCAATTTGGTTGGTTACAAACTGGCACTCAGCAGCTGTGCTGTCCCAGAGCTGTGTCCTCATCCCTCCCAACTCCCAAACATCACTCAGCCCATCTCACACACTGCAGTGTCCAAAATAGCACTTGTCAGTGCTGCCAGGTGTTTGCATCACTAGCACAGCTTCTGAACAAGCTGTCATCCTTCAGGGCTGGAAATCTCAAGGGTCACTGAGGATCCCAGAGCTGATGAGTAATCAGGACCCCACACAAAGTATAATTTGACTCCTGCTCAGCAAACACTTAAGGAGAAGTGGGAGGGCCATTGGATTCAATACATGTTTCTTGCTGACACCTGTTGTAGCCCATTACCTGCATCCTAAGCATGTAGACATCTCCATAGGATGCTGGACAGCCCAGCAGGGCACTGTGAACCTGCAGCTCACTTTCCCGGACCTTCTGCTCCAACTGGGATATGTGCTGCCTCTGTCTGTAAAAAAAAACCCTGTTCTCAAACACACAGAAGAGAGCAGCCATGCAACGTGAACAGTGCCACCACAACACCACTGCTCCACACAGTGACAAGCAGAGGAGAAAGAACCCTTCAAAACCTTCCCCCAACAATGATTTTATAAAGCACACGACCCTTGCATGTTTTGGAGGCTGCAGCTTGGCTGTGGAACCTAGGAGTGAAATGAACAGACCCCTTATAAAACACAGAAAACCATAACCAAAATTAATTTAGCTGAACCCTTCAGGAACATCATCCTAATTCCAAGAGGAAGAGAGCTCAGGCTGTTCTCAAGGGTCGTTCTTTGCAATAAAAAAAGCTCAACTGGGTAAAAGGGACTCTGAGAAATGAGCTTTCCTTGGTACTTTCCAAACCCTTCTTTTCCAAAAGGAAATGTACTGGAGTCAAACCCTCACCTGTCAATGAGGAGCTCTTTCTCCTTGAGTAGGTTTTCATTGGAGTTCAGGATATTGATCCACTGGGCTGGGTCAGGTGGAGGCAGTGATGGAGAGTACATCGAGGAATGGGGGCAGGTGCCTCCATTTTGTAACTGCAGGAGGAAACAAAACAAGGAGGGAGAAGGTTTGTGCCCCACAGAGGTAACTGCAACATTGCTGGAGCTATTTTGCACACTGTGTGCTCATCTGCATGCCAGGACACGGCTATTTCAGTCTCTGTTGATGTCCAAGAACAAGTAACTTTGCCCAAGCACAACTGGAGATTAACAAATAATTTTAGATCGCTGTGCTAGCTCACTGGAAACAATTTGTCTCCATTAAGGTACAGCTGGTGGGAGGTGGTAAACAAACTGTTTCCACCTAATAAGCTGCAGTTAGTTTTGTGCATCTTTAGAAAAACAAAAAAAAGTTTTCCTTAACCCTAGATACAGAATAAAATTATTCTAGAGACTATTTAGAACCTCTTGGCATTCTTTTTCTCTGCAGTTTCTAGCAGATGGGGTATTTTACCTCTTGGTCTGGACTCTGGTGCAGCACTGTAACATAATCCAGAGCTGCTCTACATATGGAGCGTGTCAAATGACACCTGTGACACCACATGCTGTAAAAACAGATCATTAGGAGTCTTTCAGTGTCACACAGGGAGAAGCAGGAGACATTTTCCCCTTTGCTTCCTAACTCTAGCACAAGGATTCCTGACTAAAGGGTTTCAAACTGCCTTAGCCACACAAGCAGCTCCCCACCTGCATCTGCTCCACCTGCAGTCGCACTTTGTCCAGCTGCTGTTTCCAAGCATTGAGCTCACAGACCCCCTTGTGTGGGTGGAGGGTGCATCCTTCTGGCACCCATGCTCGGGATGGAGGAGTCACTACAGGCTTTGAGAAGAAATTGTTGGCCTGGAGTCCCGCTGGCATCGCTCTGCTCCCGCTCGGCCACGTCCCGTCCCGGGGCTCGCAGACTCCGTTGGGCCCTGCCCCTTGTTTGCTCTCTGGCAGCACCTTAAAACGGTCCTTCCCTGCCTCGGGGTTTGGACTGAGCTTCTGGAACCTGTGCTGAGGGTCAGCACACAAACTGTCCAGAAAGAGAGACTGGTTCAGGGTGCGCTCCATGGCAGGAGTGTCAAACTTCCAAGGGTCTTCTGTTCTCATGGCATCAGCAGCAGGAGGCCAGGGTTGCTCGAAGCCATTTTCCCCTGAAGCCCCGTAGAGCCGCAGGAGATCCCTGGGTGGCACCTGAGACGACTTCCCAGCGTTAAAATCCCCGTTCCTCGTGAGCCCTGAGTGTTCAGAGGCAGATCCTGGCACAGCAGACTTTGAAACGTGCTGGGAACAGCCCTGGTCTCCTCCAGAGCACAGCTTGGAGGGTGAGGCACCCAGCGTGGAAGGCATAACGTGGGCTGTTGGAATGGTCACCTGGGTTTTGATGGGGTGGAATGAGGAACCGTTACTGGAATTGCAAAAATCTAGGGGAGAAAAAAAAAAAAAAAAAAGAGTGATATTCTGATTACAATCCTGAAAATACACTCCTGCAGTGAACTTTCCAAAATAACTTTAAAACCAGTTCCTTTTCCCCTCAACATATCCTCCTAATCAGCAGCAGCAAGCCTCAAGCACACCTATGTTCCCCCTCTCTACATGTTTCAGGAACCTGATGACATTTTCCTACCACCACAAACCACAGGGAGAATCCAGGTTTAATCCAGTTCACATTTAGTCCTCATTTTTAAGCTTCTCTAGCATAATCTTAAATCAGTCAGGTTATCTTCCTACAGGTTTAGAAATCAAGTCCTTCACATCAAATAAAAAGGGTGAAACTTACTCAGTCGAACACTGAGACGGTGATTCTGCTCTGCCTGTCCCACTGCGACTCCAAACCATAACCAGAGCTAACAGGAGCCTTCCCTGAGCCCATGGTGAGCCTCAAACATAGCTGAGCCCGAGGGTCTGACCTTCCAGCTCCTCCAGGACGCTGCAGCAAAAGAGCCTGGAGCAATGGCTCTCACCTTATTGCCACAGGAAGCGAGGCAGAGCTCAGCGCACGCACCCCGCGAGCCCGTCCTGCCACAGGAGCACCAAACCTGGCTGCACACACAGGGGTTATTCTTAGCAACTCTCAGATTTCAATACAGCAACAGCAAGAGCTCAGAAAGGCAAACACGGAGTGTTCCCACTCCTTGTCCCGATACGTTCCGTATCACAGGAATTCCAGGGTTCTCCCAGGTGCACAGACTTGTTTTCCTCGTGCCTTTGGCCAAAGGCCCATCCCCACGTGATCTTCCTTCAATGCAACACCAGAACTGTAAGTCACCCTTCCACCTGTTTGCACCCTCCAAGCATTGCTACGTAAGGAATGAACATCAAAATTCAAATATGACCTAAATCAGGTTCTGCAAAGACCATCATCACACTGCAGGAAAACTATCCCAAGAAAGGCACTAGATCCTTCCATCAGAAGTGAGCAGTGAGGGGGAGAAGATCTCTTTGCCACTACTTGGCTGTGCCCTGGGACCTCCAGAGAACACCGTGCTACTGGACAGCCACAAGCATGTTCACCTTGGCAAAAGAAGAGACAGTACCATTTCCTTTTACAGCCCCTAAATTTATCCCCCGGTGTCACTGTCTGGAACTCAAGTTCCCTGACCCAAATGCCACATGCAGGTGCTGCAATGGGTTCCTTGAGTGTGCTAAGGGTCATCACAACAACATTTCTGACTAATGTACTGAGCTCAGAGTGCCTCAGCCAGTGGCCAGGGCTGCAGGTCAGCCTCGGCTCTTACAAACAAGGCTGTGACAACACCAGTGCTCACACGGGTCACTTCCTCAAGGGAAATTATCACTTCCCCTGCCTTCACCTGCAACTGGGTGTTTTATTACCCTGAGAGGCTTCATGGACACAAACACGTGCTCATTCCAGCAATATTTCCAACAGCCACACTTTCCAAAGCCTTCAATTTACCCACACATGATTAAGACCTACAGCTCATTCCAAAGGCTCAACGCAGCTTCCTTGAAACAGATGTGTGAAGTGTTTTAAAGCACACCACAAACTTCCTGACTGCTGAAAGGAGAATCAATGAAGATGAAAATACAGGTGGAAAGGATTGCTGGGAGGAGCAATTTCACAGAATGTGCCTCAGCTGAGGGCCAGGCTCTGAGTTCTTCAGTGAGAAGCACATGGCTAACACTGAAGAGACAAACAATTCTGTACAAAGAATAAATTATTATAAATTATTTCTTTAAGAAAAAAAAAACAAAATCACACAACAGACTTGCTGATAAATCACTTGTTGGTCAATATGAACCAGCAAATCCCCAGGGTGGCTCTCAGTCAGTTAAAACCACTGGAGGTAGATGATAAGCAAACTAGCTCAGAGAAACACCCAGTGCCTTCATCACTTGCTTATATTCCAAGCAACATATCCAAGGCACTGGATTTGAAACAGCCTCCAAACGTCATTAGAGGTTCTGCTCTCCACGTTTTACACTCTGGGAGCCCATGGGGACTGTCACCTTCTGTGCTGTCTGAGCAGGAGGTCCCAATGCCCCCATCCCCACTGTCGGCCACACTCGGACAGCGACTGACGCGGCTCTGGGACTTCACGGACAACGTGGGTGTTTTCCAGTCAGTCTCCAAGAACTTGCTCTTCTGACTAGTGCTGGGACCTGGAGAGATAAAAAAAGGGATATTTATGCTTCAGCCAACAGACTGAAAAACCTTTTAATACCATCGAGCCATATCTAATTACCAGCACTTCCAAACCCCAAACCGCTCCCTGCTTCACTCCCCGTGTTATTGCTAAATAAATCTCTTTTGCAAAAGGAAATGGCAGCAAGACCAGGGAAGTCAAATGATATCAACAGGAGACTGAAAATCAATCTTGTTATGGAAGTCAGAATGCAAGAGTAGTAAATTATATTCCCATTGATGAGTCTGATGATATCACACTTAGCTGATGCTCTAGTGCTCAGACTAAAAAGAGCAGCACAGCAGAACTGGCTAAATTAAAGATGCATTTTTTGCATTAACTACTAAGAACTCTCCCAGATTCATCAGTTATTGCTTAAGAGAGAAATTAATTATCAGATGATTCTCTGCCCTCGTGTACTTTTGCAGGAACAAGACTTCTCTGAACAAAAAGCTTCTGGTAAAGAATCTTCTCAGGGCCACGTGTCTGCTCAGAGAAGCTGAAACAGGATCCGACAGCAGCAGGGCTTTAGAGAAAGGACTGTCCTTACCCAATGGATTGTTCTGCTGGAGCCTCAGGTCTGCATCTCTCCCAGGAGCAGCCATCTCATCCATCCTGTGAACTGGATAAATAAATATAAATCATATTTTAAGTCAGTATAACCCAGACCCTGTTCCCAGTGACCAAACAAAGGGTACACACACATCAGAGTAACACAGTATCTTGTATTTAATTAGCATCTCCTGCCAAAAATATCTGTTTTTTTCTCTGCAGCAACAAAGGAAATACTTAACTTAAAAGAGGTTGTTTTTTTTCTTTATGCCTGAAAAACGAGGATAATTTTTGTTTGCACCATTCTCCACGCAGCAGCTCAGCAGCACCTTTCAACTGGTGCATGTGTTATCCTCATGGCAGGTATTTACAGAGCACCAGTCACCACGGTACCTACACACTGACTCTGTGTCTACAGAGACTACAAATTTATCTTTAAAAGTCTTAAGTCTCCACCAGATCATTTCTGCCCTCTGTAGAGGTCACTGAGCAACTACATGAGGAATAAAGTCCTTCAAAAAATCAGCCTTGCTGTTCCATGCATGGCAATTTTTATCTATCCAGAGCTTTGGGTTAATTTATCTATTTCTCTGAGTACTTCAGACAGTGAATTTCCCGTCTCTGATAACACAAGTGCAATTTACAGCTCCCAGGCTACACTGTGGAAATTCAAGGCCTCTCTCCACCCAGACTAAACCCTCAATTGGCAGCTCTTCCCAATTCTTGCTAAACTGATTCAAAGAGCTCAAAGAAGCCATTAATTCTTAGAGAACATACACATACAGATTTTACAACATAGGAGGGGCACTGGGAATATAACAGGATAATGAACCAGAAGCAGCATTCCACTCAGAGAAGAAATAAAACACTTCTAGGTAAATGTAGTGCTTGTCATAATTTAGGTACATTTAGGTAGAAATCAGTAAATTGGATGTATTTCTGAAATTCCCCAGTTTAAATCTCAGTCTCCAGCACTACAGCCAAGACAGTTCTAACAGAGAAATTCAAGCACGGGCTCTTGGAATAATAAAGAAATCCAAACAATCAGAGCATTCCCACCTCACTCAGCACCACCCTCCCGAAACCAGACGCAGACCCCCTTGGAGAGAACCCCCACCATCCCACAACCCCTCCCTTCCAGCAGCGGGTACAGGAGGTGGGAAGGGAGTGGTGGGAGGTGGGAAGGGAGTGAAACCACACGGAAGGGGAGGGCAGGTACACGGATGGATGTGAACCCGGGGTGGGGAAGAGGATGGGGAGAACAGGGATGGGGGTGGAGGGAGGAGAGAGGGGAAGGTGGGTGAGCTGGGGCGGGGCGAGGGACACAGGACCACACCTGGAAGGCAGAGGCTGAGCCTGAGGGGTGAGACCCTGGGGGCCAGGGGGGGTCAGGCCATGAGGAGCCGGTTCCCGAGGGCTTGAAGGGGTGGGTCCCTGGGGGTCCGGTCCCTGAGAGGGCGAGGGGAGTCAATCCGTAGGGAGCCGGTCCTTGAAGGGCTGTGAGGGGTCGGTCCCTGAGGGCGGGGGGGGGGGGGGGGGGTCCCCCCCGGGGGGCCCGGCCCCGAGGGGGGGGGAGGCCCCGGGGGGGGGGGGGCCAGCCCCTGAGGGGCCAGTTCTCGAAAGGCCGGGGGAGGCGGTGGGTCAGTCCCTGAGGAGCCGGGGAGCGGTGTCCCGGTGTCGGTGTCCCGGCGGTGATTCCCGGTGTCCCGGTCCCGCTCCCTCACCTGCCTCCGCCGCGCCGCGCGCCGCGACCGTTACCCCCGCCCGCCGGGGGAGGGGGGCGTGGCATGAGGGACGGGGCGGGGCCTCCTCACGGAGTGCAGCCAATCCAGCGCGCCGGCCCCTCCCCTGCCCGCCTCTCATTGGCTCACCCCGAATGCTGTCCCCGCCCACCCCCGCAGCGCCGCGGAGGGAGCGGGAGAAGAGTGTCCGCGGGCGGCACCCGTAGGGCGGGGGCTGAGGGAGAAGGGGGGGCTCAGGCTGAGGAAAAGCGGGACCGGGGCGCACCTTCGGGCTCTCTGCGACCCCCTGACAGGAGCGGGGAGCCAGGCGGGGACTCTGCTGGCAGGGGACAAGGGACAGGATGAGGGGGAGCGGCCTCAAGCTGCGCCAGGGGAGGTTCGTGTTGGATATTGGGAAAATTCCCCCATGGAAAGGGGTTGTCACCGCTTCCCAGGGCAGTGGTGGAGTCGCCATCCCTGGGAGCGTTCAAAAAACACGTGGATGTGGCAGCTGGGGACGTGGTTTAGTGGTGCTGTTCAGCTGGATGCCATGATCCCATTTCCAACTTAAACAATTCCACGATTTTACGGCTTCAACGCCGAGAAAAAAAACCAAAACAAAACAAAAAACCACGGCACGACTAGGGCCTGTCAACACAATTTATTTACATCACAAGAGCCCCCCCACCTTGGCACAGCACCACAGCCTGGGGCACGTCCCTCCAGGAACAGCCCTCCCCCCCTTTCCCTCTGCCAACCCAAAATGTCCTTGGGAAAAGTAAGACTCAAAAGTGTCCTTGGGAAAAGTAAGACTCAAAAGTGTCCTTGGGAAAAAGTAAAAGACTCGTCACAGCGACACCCCCACCCCGGGGAGGGAGGTGGATGCAGCAGAAGCCACTGTCTCTGAGCGATGAGCCTTCCAAAAATGTCCTCTGTCCCCCCGAGCTCTGCCAGCACCGACCCACGCCAGGTCCTGGTGGGATGTCAAGGTCCAGCCGCCTCTCCAGGGGGGTCCTGCTCGCCCCCGAGCCCCCCGTCGTGGCCCTGGCGCTGCCGCCCTGCCCACCCCTCCCGCAGCTCCTGGTACAGCTCCTGGTGCTCCTCCTTCCAGCGCCTGAAGGTGTCCGAGGTGAGCGAAGCCTCTCCCAGCAGCTGCTCCAGCGCCTCCAGCTCCGCCAGCTTCGCCTGCCCGGCACAAGGGGGAGGTTTTTGGGGCGGCCACCCGCGGGCAGGGGGGGTTTGGGGAGGGGAAATCGCGGGGCTAGGGGGGGTCCCACCTTGAGCGTGCTCTGCAGCGCCCGCACGGCGTGCACCCTCTCGTTGATGTGCGGGTTCTTGTTGCGCCGCAGGAAGGATTTTCGGCACTGCTCCTGCGTCAGGAACCGCCGCTGCCCGATGAGGGACACCCCTCCCTGGCTCAGGCACCGGATCAGGCTCTCCAGGTCCTCCCCGGCGGGGTCTGGGGGAGGGGAGGAGGGCACTGGAGCAGGAGGGGAGCCCCCAGACCCCACGGGGCTCCCCCCTGCGCGTGAGTGGGAGGAGGGAGTGCAGAATCGTGGAGAGGTTTGGAAGGGATCTGAAAGTTCGCCCAGTTCCAACCCCTTAGCACGGCAGGGACGCCTTCCACTATCCCGTGGTGCTCCAACCTGGCCTTGGACACTTCCAGGGATGGGGCAGCCACAGCTTCTCTGGGCAACCTGTGCCAGGGCCTCCCCAGCCTCACAGCAAAGAATTTCCTCTTGATATCCAATCTGAACCTACTCTTTCTAGTTTCCCCCTTGCCCTGTCACTCCATGCCCTTTTAAAAAACCCCTCTCCATCTTTCCTGTAGGCTTCCTTCACCCTGAGATGGTTCACACTCCAACACACCCCAGCTCGAGTTACCCCCCAGCACACACACAGAGAGAAAAGGGAGGCCCTGACTGTGATTAAAGGGTGCACACAAGGTGACAGAGTGACAGATGCCACCTCCAGCACCTACCCATGGGGGAGCAGGGCCGGGGGCTGCCCTGGGGGCTGCTGGACTCGCCGCTGGCCGGGGAGAGCTGGGCTTTGTCCGGCGGGTTCTGCAGCCTCTTCCTCGGCTGGGGGAGAGATGAGGCAGGAGGTGAGATGAGGAATCTCTGTCCCCTGCCCAGGATGTCCCCCAGGGCCACTCACCGAGTCACATCCGTGCCTGGGGGACTCGTCATCAGGGTCCTCAGCCTCTGTCTCGCTGTAGCAGTCTGGGGAGGGCAGTGGGAGTGGGAAGATTCCCCCCTCAGGGCTGAGCATCATCCCAAGCCCCTCTCAGGGGGAGTTTTCTCACATTCCCACAAATTCTCACATTCTCACAGGCAAAGCTCCCAGCAGTCCCACACAGGGGATGTGGCACCAGGCACAGCTGCTCCACCAGGACCTCCAGGTCTCCCCAGGGTCCCCATCTCCCACTGACCCCACCCCCAGGTCCCCTCAGGGTCCCCATCTCCCACTGACCCCACCTCCCACCCCGGAGAAGGGCTCATTACCTTCCTCCTTGTCTGGGACTGACTGGTGGGCGAGTGTGTACTTTGTTTTGGCTGTTATGAGCCGACTGACCCACCTAGGGAGGGAAAGGACAGACAGACAGGCAGAGGAGGGTCCTGGCCAGCCCAGGAGTAGCAGGACTGGCACTGACCAGCACCGGTGGGTGTGTTACTCACATGCTCAGGTCAGCCAAGGTTTCGGCAGCAAAGACAAAGGGCTTGTACTTCTGGTGGCACAGCTGGAACACACTGAGGACAAGCAGGTGGCTGCTGTGGTGACACAGAACCAACCACAAGCCCCCTCCAGCCTCCTCATTCCAATCCAGCCCAGGGGTCTGGGCTTCTCCCTGCCCTGGGAGATGTCCTTGGCCTCATCCCAGGTAATACCAGGAGCACAGTGCACGTCTTGCTCAGTGCAGACAGAATATTGCAAACCCCCTGGGGACTCCACCAGCCCCTTGGAGCCCCCACCAGCCCTACAAGGACCCCACCAGGCCCATGGGGACCCCACCAACCCTGTAGGGACCTCACCACCACATGAAGGTCCCACCAGCCCTGTGGGGACCCCACAGCCCTACAGGGACCCCATGAGGCCCATGGGGACACCAGCAAATCCATGGGGACCTCTGAAGCTCTGAGAGGACCCCAGCAGCCCCATGGGGACCCCACAAGCCCCATGGGGACATGCAGGTGGTACCCAGCAGGATTCATCAGCACGTGCCCAGCATCCCCCCCCCTTCCACCACCAGCTGGGAGGTGAGACAGACCCCACTCACTATTTCTTCTTCTGCTCCCTCGTGCTCTCCAGGTCATAGGTGGCCACATTGATGAGTCCTGCAGCCTTCTCATCCTGTGAGGAATGGGGACAGTGTGTCCAACACCACCACCTTGGGAAATCCCAGCTGCCCAGGTGGGAATGGGGGGATTAGGGCACCCAGTGGCCCCCACTCACGTTGGGGTGGTTGTACCAGTAGAGCGTGTGGCCCTTCAGCACGAACCAGCACCGCTTCCACTTCTGGGCCATGAATCCCACGTGGTCCTTCTTCTTGAGGAGCCACCCATCGCAGTCCACCCGGCCCAGGTCCCGGCACGAGACCCGCCGGCGGCTCAGCCTGGTCGCCACTCCTGCCACCGGGGGGGGTGTCAAGGCAGGGGAGGGGGAGCAGAGCCCCCCTCCCCAGGGGAGCCCCCAGCCCCCTTCACCCCAGCCTGGCAGGGTCCTGCTCACCTTTTGGTCTGCGTCCTCTCTGGGGGCTGCCCTGGATGGGGAGATGGAGATGAGCATTTAGGGATGACATAAGGGGGGGTGAGGGCAGGGCAGCGTTAGCTGAGCCCCCCCAGCAGCACACACAGCCCTCAGGGACCCCCTTAGGGACCCCCAACTTGCACACACACAGTGAGCCCAGAGGGGAGCTCAGAGAGGAACCCATCCTGGCACAGGCGTTTTGACTCCACCACAGACAGGACACAAAGTCCTGTGTCGTCCCCCCACTCTGACACCCTCCCAGTGTCCCCCCCCCAGCTCTCACCTCCCCAGGGAGCTGGCAGGGCTCTGCACCCCCAGCCCCCGTGGTGGGGGCTGCCGTGGGGCTCAGCTCTGTGCTGCAGGGTCTGGTGGCAGCAGAGATGCCCGGAGAGTTTGGGATGCCCGGTGGGGTGCCCAGTGGGGTGTCCAAGGGGGTGTCCAAGGGGGTGCCACTCTCCCACTCCTCCTCCTCTGCAGCACCTGCGAACAGCGAGCGGGGCTGCAGCCTCCTGTCCTGGGAGAAGACATCTCTGTCCCCGCCTCTTCTCCCGTCCTACCCCGTCCGGACAGTCCCGGCAGCTCCTCCACGGCCGCCCCGGGCAGCCTCAGGTCCTGCTCGTCCTCTTCCTCCTCCTCGTCAGTGACGGGATCCGGCGCTGAGTCCGGCCCTGAGTCCAAGTCGGCACCAACGCTGGAGGAACACGGGATTCCTGAGCCACAAACCTCTTTGACGTCTGCAGGGATCCCACTGTCGGCCTCTGGGTGGGGCACCCGCGGTTCTCCCCGCGCGAGGAGTGGGGCTGGAGGGGACGCGGTGGTGGGGGCTCAGCACCAGCTCCGCCAGACCTCCGCGGTCCCCAGCAGGGTGGGAGCCCGGCCGGTGGCTCCTGCCCGCGCTGCCGTTGGCTCCCCGCACGCCTTTCCATTCCGGGAGAGGAGAAGGGTCATGTCTAAATATAGTTTCAACCCCACTAAAACGTTACCAAGTGAATGAATTACAAACACAACCCACTTTTTTTTTTTTTTCCGTTCCTTAAGGCTACTGGGCAGCTCCCCAGGCAGCTGCTGCGCCGCTGGGACTTCTCCGCCCCCAAAAAAGAGCTGGGAAGGGGCCTCGGGGGCATCCAAACAGCTCCTTGCTGGCCGGATTGGGGGTGCTGGGGTGTCGGGATGGGGCTCACCTGGAGGTCAGGGACACGGGGCTGCCTGGGCATTCGCCACTCCTGGTGCCGGGGGAATCCGCAGCATCCGAAAATGCTCCTGGGAGCTGTGGATGGAGTGTCAGGGACAGCCCCACCCCACCACGGACCCCAGAGCTTTAGGGATCAGCAGTGTGATGGGAAATGCCTGGCTCTGAGCGTCTCTACCTGGTTCCCAGCACGTCCCAGTGAAGCACTTGGGATGAACTGGGAGCACCGGGATCACTCACTTGCTGTCTGGGAGAGGGGGGTGAGCCGTGCAGGTCAAGGGGGATCTTCTTCAGCACCAGTGTCACCTCGTTTGCCTTCTCCAGCAGCTTCTTCTCCAGGTTGATGCGTGTCCAACCCACCTGCACAGCCCCACAATGAGCTGTGGCACATGGCCCTGGCCCCATGGCTGCTGCATCCCCCAAACCCTCCCCAGATACAGATCCCACATCCCCCAATCCCCCAGCGGTGGCTCCTGTGTCCCTCAGACCATTCCCAGCCATGGGTCCTGCTTTTTGCAGATCTCAACTCCTATATCCCCCCAAGCTACAGTCCCCCTAGAGTCCTCCCAGTCACAGGTCCCATGTCCCCCTAAAATCCTCCCGGCTGCATGTCCTGTGTGCACCCAAAATCCTCTCAGCTGCGCTCCCCATATTCCCCCAGCCCTCCCGGCCTTGCAGCTCCCTGTCCATGACTTCCCTGCCAAAAACCAGCCCTGTCCCCTCCAACTCACCACGACCTGCTCATTGACCTGCACGATCTCGTCCCCGGGCAGGATGTGCCCCCCGTGGGCAGCCAGGGCCTGGGCAGAGGCAGGGTGGGAGTGGGGTGCCCAGTCCCGGGTTCCCACCCCCTCTTCCCAAGCTAATCCACACTCAGGATCTCTCCCGGATGGGGAGAACCGGGGAGGGATTAACCATTAACCCGACCTTTCGTGGCAGTGGCCAGAGCTGCCCAGGTGGGATCGGGGTGCAGAGGGGGCTCCCCCCATGCCCAGGCTGTGCTCACTCATGAGATGAGTTGCACAGTCTCAGCTGCAGGCAGCCCCCCCAGCTCTGGGTCGGGATGTGGATTAAGGCCCTAAGAGGACCCCATAGACTGGAGGAATTCCCCATGGCAGGTGCTAAAAGGGACAGGGTGGCACTTGGGGGGGGTGACAGACAGGGAGGGGCAGCCCCTCGCTCACCTCCGAGCTGGTGGCAGACACAAAGTGCAGGCAGGAGCTGGTGGAGGTGATCTCAAAGCCCTGAGGGGGGACAGGAAGGGGGTTTGAGCAGGGATCTAGGGGGTCCAAGGCAGTGGGGGGGTGCTGGGGTGGTGGGGACTCACCAGCGGGGTGGTGATGATTGTCAGGGGGTCAGAGGGTGGCACTGAGGTGTCAGGGGACACTGGGGGGCTCCCCCATGGGCTGAGGGGCAGCGTTGGCGAGTCAGGGGATGTTGGGGGGCTCTGCCACAGGCCTGGGGGCAGCGATGGGGTGCTGGGGGACCTCGGGGGGCTGCTCCTTGGGCCAGGGGGCAGCGCCAGCCCCACCTCCTGCAGCACAGCCCTGCGGTCCAGCAGTGCCGGGGGGCTGCAGCCCACGATGCTCTCGCAGATGCCCACGATGTGCTGGCACTGTGGGTGACAGTGGGGGGCTCAGATGGGCCCTGGCAGCCCCCCCATGCCTGCCACCCCCTCCTCACCCACAGCACTTACGATCTGCAGGATCTGTCTGTCCCTCTCAGCTGCGGGACAATCCTGGGGGAACAAGATGTGGGGATGAGGGGGAAGGGATGGGTCCATCCCAGCTGGGGGAATCCCATGGGGAACCCCCCTTGCACCAGATCTCCTCTCACCCCACCTCCAGCCCGGCAAAGCTCTGGGGGGACAGGAGAGCTGCTAGCTGGCTCCCCAACCCCGATGGGTGCCCATCACCCACCGCCTGCAGCGTCTCTGCCAGCTGGGCACACAGCAGGACGATGTCCTGGCTGGCTGAGAAGTCATTGAGGGTGGAGAAGAGGTACCTGGAGGGGGACACAGAGCTCAGCCCCTGGTGTTGCGGTCACCCAGCACCCAGAGGGGCCCTCACTTGCCCCGGACCTGTTGAGCCAGGAGAAGAGTCCCTTGGCAGCCCCGACCAGGTCGATGACTCGGGCCAGGAGGGTGAGGGAGGGCAGCTGGGGGGCATCCCCTGCCGACAGCCCTCCCAGCACCAGGCTCTGGATGCCCTGTGCCAGCTCCTGCAGCCTCTCTGTCAGGGTCCGCAGGCTGGTGCTCGCCAGCCCTGCATCCTGGGGGGGACATGGATGCCAGGAGATAGGGGGGGCAGTGGGGATCTCAGGGGTGCCTCCATGTTCCCACCTTCACTCAGCCCTGATTCCCAGCTCCAACCAGCACAGAGTGCCCCCACATCCCTCCACCACCGAGTTCAAGGTGCCCCAGTGTCCCCGCTTTCACCCAGCCCAGGGTGACCCCACATCCCCCTTCTCCAGCCCAGGATGCCCCCATGTCCTCCCCTCTATCCAGCCCAGGGTCCCCCCATATTCTCTCTCCAACGAGTCCAGGGTGTCCCCACCTTCACCCAGTGCAAGATGACCCCATGTCCTCCCTTCCACCCAGCCCAGGGTGCCCCCAAATTCCCCCTTCCTCTCTGGTTTCCCCACAGCCCCTGGGGGTCCCTGCACTCACCAGCTCACGGAGCTGCTCCACAGCCTCCAGCAGCAGCTCCTGGTGCCCCAGGGGCCACACACCCAGTGCCTCCAGGACCTCCACATCCAGCCCCAGCAGGTCAGGCCCTGCCAGCTCCCAGGCCTCGAAGGGGTACCCCTGCACCGCTGCATCCAGCCCTGCCACAGACCAGCACCCCCCCCCCGCCGGCTGGGTGACCCCAGGGCATGACACCTGGCTGATGGCACAGCCCTCTTCATGCAACGAGTTCACCCAGTCACAGCCTAAACGGTGGGCACGGCCAGACCCCCACCCCATCCACAGCAAGATCCAGGGAAAACGCCCCCTCTCAGGGAGAAGAGACGAGGGATGAGAAGCGCTGCCACCCCCCCCAGCCACACCAACCCACCCACATGTCACCAATCTGGGGACACCCCACCCCAGAGCCAGCAGTGGGGTGTCCCCTGGGCTGGGGAGGGGCAGGCGTGGGGGGGTGAGTCTCACCTCGGAGCCAGGCGGCCACCTCTGCGGGGCCCCAGGAGCCCACGGGCTCCATGGCGGCGGGGCCGGAACGGGCGGCGGGAGCCGGGAGCGGGAGCTGGGAGCGGCTCCCACCTGTGCCGGGAGCGGGAGCCCCATTGGAGCGCCCGGGTGCCGCTCACCTGCCCAGCGCCATCCCACGGGGCGAGGCCCCACGGCGCGCCCTAGGTGAGTCACGGCGGGATGGGGACGGTGACGCGCGGCCGCTGGAACCCCCCCTGGAAAATGGGGCTGCTGGAACCCTCCTGGAAATGGCACACGGTGTGTTTTACCCCCCCAAAACCGCTGTGTGCAGTGAAGGCTGAGGCCCAACAGCACTCGTGACACTAGTCACCCCAGCTGCCCTGTTTGGACAAACAGACACCCCCCCAGAAGAGCCTAAGGGAGCCTCTGCTCAGCCCCCTCCCCACCGGTGTCCCCGCTGGTCCCTGGCCGGGTGAAGCCAGGGGTGACACCCGGCTCGTGGGAGAGCCCTCTCCATGCAATGAGTTTGCCTGGTCTCAGCCTAAATGGTGGTGATGACCAGACTCCCACACCACCCTCAACGAGATCCAAGGAATGACGCCCTCCCAGCGAGAAGAGACGAGGGATGGGAAGTTTTTGGGGCGTCACCCCCCGCCCAAGGCACATTCACACCCCTTCCTTTGCAAGGGAGGGGAATTGAGGCAAGGGGCAGCCCCCACACAGGCCTGCAGAGCCCCATGGCTGAGCCCGGCTCTTCAGCCCCTCCAGACGTGTCCTGGGCTGGCTCCGGCCCCCCCGCCAGCGCCTGGGCTCCCAAACCCCCCCGCCCTGCGTGTGCGCTCGGGGGAGCAGCGGGCGCTGATCGCGGCTGACAGCGGCTCTGTGCTCGCCCGGTGCCGCCCTTCCCGAGGGGGCCGGCGGGCAGGACACAGGCACGGACCCCTCGCCGTGCTCAGGGCAGGGGTCCCCGTGTTGGGGGGGTCCCAGCCCCGCCGCCACCCCACGGGGCCTGATCCTGCTGCTCCCCACCGCGCCATGATCATCCGCCCCAAGCGCTTGACCCCGGGGTACTTCCGTCTGCTCCAGGTAAGGGGGCCAGCAGGGTTGGGGGCAGCCCGTGGGGACCCCTGGGATGGTGCCCGTGTCACCCACCGGGCCTGCTGGCCACGGGAGCCATGCCCAGCTCCATCCCAGCTCCGCGTTAGCAGCGAGGGTGCTGCCAGCGGAGTCCCTCAAGTGCCGCTCAGAGCACTCCAAAAGCCACCCTGGACACCCTGGGGGGGACACAAAGCTGCCCCCTTCCCCTGTACACCACCAGGCGTGATGGAGACATTCAGGGCATGGGCCCAGGCCCCCTGTTCCCGTGGGGTTTGGGATTTGGGGTGCCCTGGCACTCCCCTCTCCTCTCCTCTGTCCCCCCACAGATGCAGCTGGCGGCAGGACGGGGGGCTGAGCCGGGGGGGCGGCTGCTGACCCCCCTGGCCCTGCTGCTGGCAGCTGCCGGGCTCTGCCTGTCCCTCTACAGCGCCCGCAGAATGGCTGACCCCGCCAAGGCCCCCCCGGCACCGTGAGGAGGGGGCTGGCGGGGCCCTGGGGAGTCCCCAGGGGGGTGTCGGGGTCCCCCTCCACCCACCATCCCCTGTCTGAGCGGAGCTGCGGTGACTTTCCGGCTGACCTGCGCCACATCCAGCCCTTCCCACCACGCCTGGGCACGCGATGGTGCCCAGGGGAGGGGGGACACGTGCCTGTCCCTGTCTGTCCCCGCTTTTGGAGCCGGGATGGAGACTGGAAAAGCCGCCTCCAGCTCCAGAGCTGCCAGATGAGCCCCCTCCCAAACCGCTGCGAGACACCGGGATCCGGCCACGAGACCGGAGGCTGAACGGGCAGACAGACAGATGGTGGAGCCAGGAGCTGCGTCCATCTCCATCTCTCACCGAAGCAGAGGGGACTGAGGGGCCCCTTGTACCCCGCTGGCAGCCACAGACCCCCTCTGTCCCTGTGGAAATGTGCCAGGAATGAGGCCAGCACCGAGCACCATTAGGTAACGGGGCAGGGGGGACGTGGGGCCACGGGGTCGGTGACGTGTCCCCTGGGCAGGCACATCCCGCTGGAATGGCGGCTGCAGCCTTCCCGACCCCCCCTCTCCTGACCCCACTCAGAGCTGCAGCTCCCCCCCCCCCCCGGGGGGGGGGGGGGGGGACACACAAATCTGGGCAGGCTGCGTGGAAATAAACCCTTCCCTACCCAGCACAGCTGCATTGTCGCTCTGCTTTCCTGCTGCTCCAGCCCCGAGCCCCATGCCCAGCTCATTCCCAGGCCCCAGCACGGCAGGAGGGATGAATTGGGGTCAGCTGCTCTGTAGGAATTCGAGGCGGCAGCAGTGGGTGGTGGCATTGTCACACAGTGTCCCCTCAGGGTCACCAGCAGCATCAGTCTGGCAGACACGAGGCAGGGAGGGTGATCGTGCAGCCCCAGCCCTCCAGGACCATGAAATCACCGGCTGGTTTTTGAGGACAGGAGCCTCAAAGTGTCCCTGCCAAGGGGACACCAGCACTCCCCTCTCAAGGCCCAAACCAGCTGCTTGCTGATGCTTGAGGAGGTCACTCAAGGACATACTACCCCAAAAAAAGCTGCCTGGGAACCCCCTGCCAGGAGGGCAAGAGGGAGTTTCACCACCCTGCCCAGATAGAAGCACTGGGATGAGGTTGTTCCTCCAGGCTGGCACGGACACCTCTGGGTGATGGGGAAGAGCACAACACTGAGAGGTGCCCCCACACCCCTCGGGGGGACTGTCCCCCTCATATCCAGAGAGCTCTCAATGCTTCCAGGCTCTTAGTTGACATATTTTAATAGCTGAACCTCTGGAATAACCTCTGACCCAAGGACAGACACCCAAAATCTCTCCAAAAGCAACAAGAGGAGTGTAGTCCTGCCAGGACAAGCTGCTTGTCCCTTCTTGGAAAAGGAGGACACATGCTGAGGGCACCCAGGGTCTCCTTGGCTCCTTCTCCTCGTTAGTCCCGGGGCTGCAGGAGGAGCAGGGTGGTTTTTCCTGGCAGGCTGTGCTGGGACGTGTTTTTCTCACAAAGCTGAGGACAAAGACGCCCTTACAGAGCCGCCAGATCTCAGTCCCTCGTCCCCTGGGCTCAGCTGGACGTCTCCATCTCGGTGGCCTCCTCCAGGGGCTGGGTCTGCACCTCCACCTTCTTCGGGGGGATGTAGGAGCCCATCCCCGCGGCGCGCTCGGCCTCCTCCTGCGTGTACGGAGTCTCCCGCAGCTGCTTCAGCCTGGGGGAGGCACGGGGGGGTGTGAAGGCTCCCACCCCGCTCCTCAGGGCAGGACCAGCCCAGAACTGACACCACCACCCCGAGGGACAGCGGGGTTGGGCCCCTCCTCACCTCTTCTTGTGCACCTTGGACCTGAAGTGCTCCTTCATGCTGTTGAGGTCCACGAAGTAGCGCCTGGGGGGGATCAGAGGATGGGGGTCAGAGAGGACCCCGAGATGGGAGCAAGGCTGGGGAGAGCCCTACTGAAGGGTCCCCCCGTAAGCCTGGGGCCAGTCCCCCACGGGCTGGGGCTGGGGTTCACCCTGAGACTGAGACAAGTTTTCCCAAGCCAAGAACCCCCCGGGGGCAAGACACCGCCCACCCTAGAAGCCATGGATCCCCCAGGACCAGGGCAACCTCATCCCAGGGGCCAAGACCCCCCTCCTGGACCAGAACACGCCCTCCCTCTCCAGGAGCATCCTAGGGACCCCTCCAGAACCAGAGCAACCCCATTCCACGGGTCTGGGACCCCCTGGACCAGGACATCCCCCACCCCAGGAGCCATGAAGTCCCCAGAACCAGGACAACCCCCTCCCAGGGCAGTGAGACCCCCCCACCCCGGGCCCCCCCCCCCCCCAGGGTGCGCCCCCCCCCCCCCCCCCCCCCCCCCCCCCGCACGCACGCGCAGTGCAGGCAGTAGAACTGGGCGCAGCCCGGCAGGTCGGGGTCCACCTCCTGGCGCAGCAGCCTCGCCGCGTTCTCGGGCTTCATGTCCGCGTGGATCTCGTCCAGGTCGCGGCGGCGCCGCTTCGTCTTGAGCTGCCGGGCGAGCGAGTGCGCCCGGTGGGCGCCGGTGCGGCGGCCGTTCCGCGGGGACATGGCGGGCACCACGCCGGGCCGGGCCGGCACTGCGCAGGCGCGGGAGGCTGCGGGCCCCGCCCGCCCGGTTCTACGCCCCGCCCACGCAGCGGCAGACCCCGCCCACAAACCGATAAGCACCGCCCACCAAGCGACAGGCAGATAACCCCGCCCCCAGTCATAAGCTCCGCCCACGAAGAGCAGACCCCGCCTCCAGGCGGGAACGCTCCGCCCACTAAGCGACAGGCTCCTCCCACAAGGTTTGACCCAGTCTATAGACCGCGCCCACTATGTGTAAGCCACGCCTATCAGCACCAGGCCACGCCCCCGGTCACGCCTCCCCCGGCTCAGCCCTGGCCCGAAGCCCCCCGGGCCCGGTGACGGTCCCCGGGCATAGCCGTGTCCCCCAACCCCCCCCAGCCCCCGGTGGCCCCTCCCCGGGCTGTCCCCGTGTCCCCCCGCGGGCCCCGCGCTGCCCCGGTCACCGCTGTGATGAGCCGGGCAGGGCTCAGCGCGCCGCGTTCCCGGCGCTGATCGTGTTTCCTCCGTGATCAATTATAAATAGGGACACGCGGCGGGGGGAGCGCGGAGCCCCAGCGCCTGCTCTGCGCCGTGGGAGGGGGATGTCCCCGCCCTGGGGGTCTCCTGTGGGCGAGGGGCACTGGCGGGGCTGGGGTGGGAGAGAGGAGAGGAGGGTTTGGGGGTGACCGGATCAGGCGCCCCCGCGCTGCCCCCGGCTCAGCGCGGGCTCAGATTCCTTTTGTGCATTGGAAGTGGCCGCTGAAACTTTAATGAAGCCACCGGATCGCCACTCGGTTCCCCCCCCTCTGCCCCGCCGCCCGCGGCTCCGCCGGCTCCGGCCCCGCCGAGCTCCTCACCATGGCCCAGGGCTTCTGGCGGCTCTACAAGGCCAAAGTGCTGCAGACCCTCGGGGGGCCCC